GAGCGTCAAAGGTTTGTTTATAATTATTTGAGTTCTGAAGGTTAGTTCACTGAAATTTTACTCCAACAATACATATTATTGGCAGAGACCTGGATTTATATAACTGGTATTGACCTATTCTCAGCTGAAAGAATAAACTTGCTCTACAATTTTGCTGACCAGTGATATCATTCCAGCTTATATTTTTAGTTTCTATACTTAGATTTTAGTTAAAATAAAATATATTGACAGTGTAAAAGATTTTTTACGCTACCATCCAATCATGAACTATTGTATAATTGAAAACTATTAACTGTGTAATAATTACTTCAAAAGTCATATCTAAGATGATTTTCAATTAATAGACATTGTAAAATTCTTTACACAAATTGCATATCGAAATTGAACTGTTAAAACACAATTGGGAAATACATGTTTCTCTTCCTTATGAATGGTAACACAGGTTACATTATTAATCAGTCTGTCCTTGCAGATGTGGAGCTTGCATTGCATGCATTTGTTTAACATATTCGTAGGCACGATGCAAACCTCCCCTTATCTCTTCAACTTCTATGTTAATGTAATTCTAACAGTTGTTTTACTGACCAAAGATAACTCTCATGAAAGCTTTCAAAATCAAGTTACAAAAGCTCAAGTCATATTTTCAAAGATGATTCTTCTGAATTTGATACATGTTTACTAATTTTAATTGGGATGTGCACAGGTAAGAAACCAAGCAACACAGAAGTGGAAGAATTAGTCAATCTTGCAGATAAATACACTCTCGCAAACCATCTATTTTGGGGCTTGTGGGGACTTATTTCGGTAAGCTTTTTTCTATTTTGAGTAAAATATTTTTCTCTCAAAATTCGGTTTTAGTCTGTCTAAAAATTATTACGTTTTTATTTCTTACATTTTAACATAACACATGTGTTTTTAGTCTGTGGTGAAGAACTGAAACCACATCATGTTTAGTAAATGTGAGGACTAAAAATTTATCCCAGTACATTTTTATAGGAATTAAAACTAATTTTTGAGATACTATTAGGGACTAAATTTTTTTTTTTTTTACTGTTTTTATTTTATATTTTTGGTTAGTCTAAAAGGTTACTTCTGTTTCCTAAGTGTGTTGCTCTGTGTGTGCTGTAGAGTTATGTCAATTCAATTGACTTTGACTACAAGGAGTATGCAAGGCAGAGGTTTCAGCAATACTGGCTTAAGAAGCCTACTTTATTGGACTCACCAAGTATCATTTCCCAAGATGCAATTGTCAATGGTTCACACCATTGACTTGATTGCTTCTTATGTATTTAGTATACGTACACTTTGATATGTATTGATTAATAATGTAGAAATGCATGATATGATGCATAAAATCTGTAAATAACTAAATACGTGTGATGGATTTTGTCAATTTTTACTATAATTATGTTGGTAATCGCTCCTCCTTGTTGGATTTAGTTGAGGAATGAAGGTGTGAATTACTAGTTGTGTCTTGTCATTTGCAAGAGATGGCTTATTATCCTGGAAACAAAATTTCTGGCATTCATATAGGTTTTGATCTCACATAGCATCTTTGCCTATACTTGCTTAATGGTGCATAGCTTTACCTTAATTTGATATTTTCTGTCATCTAACAAATTTTTGTTCCTCTCCGAACCTTACCAAAAGAAAGATTTGAATTTAATTAAATTAAGAATCCAAACTACAGAAAGAGAGAAGCAACCTATCAAATAATTAAAAAGCATCACATGGAAATATCAAATATGTCTCCTGTCTACACTTGAATTTTGTTTTTTTAAAGGGTACTTCAATGTGAATATTTTTGTAGAAAAAACATAGTGGCTTAACAATCATCAACAGCAGTATAAATAAAAATACCTTACTTCTCAAGAGAGAGAAAGAAAGAACACATGTTAAAAATGAAAATAGAGAAACAAAATGAAAGAGATCTCATCTTTATCAAATTGTTCACTACTACAACGAAGCATGGTTGTTTAACAGCTTGACTGAAGTTCAGTTTGTTCATATGCCATGTGCAAATGTGCTAATGCAAACTATTCGCCCAAAAAGATGTGCTTATGCTTACAGGCTATTGTGGTTACTTCAACATTTTTTTTATCTATAAAAATATATTCATTATATTACAAAGATGACGACAAGAAATAAACTTAGGTCTTCACTTATTTATTTTAACTTCTTCCCTTTCAAGTTTCAACCATTAGATTGGTCTACTAAACTAGTCCTAGTAGTTGTCGTTACTTCACATATATATAACTTTGTTTCATAGACATAAATGACAATTTCTAGGAAAAGAGCATTCACTTATCTTAATTTTTACTCTTTTTACAAATAGATATTATATATTTTAATTTTATTCTAATCAATCTTTAAATTTTATTAATTTGTAAATAAATATCATGAACTTTAATTTTTTCCAATTAATTCTTAAACTTTACTTCTTTTGTAAATAAACATATTCAACTTTAATTTCATTTTAATTGATATTTACCATTTACCATTTTTAAAACATTGCTTTTATCAATTTGATTTTTGTATTTAATTATTTAATGTCAATCATTCATTATTTTTTTTCTTCTTTTATCACAATTATTTTTAAAACATGAATTTATAAAAACAATAAGAAAAATAAAAGAATAATAAAAAATAGTAAAAGAAATCTGTTTTATTTTTTAATTCTAAATTTTATGATTTAATATATAGAAAAGTGATATATAAAAATAAAACTAATAAAGTGTAATTTAAAATAAATAGTTTAATTAATCTCAATATAATATAAAAGTTGACTATATAAATAATAAGGGATACATTTTAAAAATTAATTAAAATTAAATTGAATTCAAGGTATTTATTTGTAAAAATAAAAATTTAAGAATCAATTATAATACAATTAAAATTTATAGTGTTTATTTGTCATTAGGCTAAAATTTAAAATAAAATAAAATTTTATAATATCTATTTGTAAAATAGGTAAAGTTTATTGCGTCTAAGTATTTTTTTTTCCCTAATTTTTAACACTATTTAATTCGGACAACGTACTGATTGGTCAACGGAGATGTTAATTATTGATTTACATTATTTCTCACATCATTAATAATTGATTAGCATCTTCACTCAATACATAATCATCACTAATATTATTCACGGTTTTTATAAACTGTTTTCCAACATAAAATTAGCTTAAAAAAATTCACTTCAATGACTTCCAAACAACAATAATATTTACACATTATAAAAAATTACATTTATACTTCTCCAAACATTCTTTACCAATTGATATAATTGTACTTTTGATAGATAGTCCCCGTAATGGCCACCTGTGTATAACAACGTGCATTTCCAATCCAAAACATTTTTTTTTTCTTTTTGTGAGTTGGATTGGTCAGTGATACCAATTGACAGAACTTTCCCTTTACTTGTATAAAATTCAATAATTATATAGACACGTTTTATTATACTATGTTAGCATTATTTTTAAAGAAGTGAACCACAATTCATCACGTTATTTCTACTACTAGGGTAAACGGCACGATGTATATAAAAAGTGGAAAGCATCCCAAATTAAAATAGTCGCACACAAATATCTAGGGTACGGACCTAATAATGTGAAAATATTAATATTAAAAAATTATAAAAAGTGATTTTTTTAAAAAAAATTAAATATATTTTGTCCCTAAAATTTATGATAAATTTTTTTATTTTTATCCTTCAAATTTAAAATTATTATCTTTAATTCTTGAAATTTTAAAATATATTATTTTAGTCTCTTAGATTACTAATAATATATATGAAAATAAAAAATTAAAATAATTAAATAATATTAATTGAATTTAATGTGATATTTTTACTAATTAGAACACTAGTAGGTAGATTATATGCAATAATATTGATAACTTTTTTAACAAAATTTGAATATAAGAACTAAAATAAGATTTTTTGAGATTACACAGACTAAAAATAATGATTTAAAATTTGAGAAATCAAAAACAATATTACCCTAAATTTAAGGAATAAAAATATATTTAAGTCTTTTTAAAATTATCTTTTAAGAGACATACAGTAGTTGTCTCTTAAAAAAATCCAAATAACCATGATAACAAAAAGCATACATAACTAAGGAACAACTTTCACCTGATTTTGTAAGATTAAATTTAATTTAATTTAATTTTTTTATTATAAGATGGTATTAGAATCACCCTAGACTTATATAAAGAGGGACATCCACTATTTATACATACACATCAAACCTAATAGTATTCAGTGTGAGAGAGTATATTTAAAAATAATCCAAGTCCAACATTGAACATTGACTAGATACAAGACTAATAAAGAATAAGTGGAAGGCCGGTAACTTTCATCTTACAAGTCAATTTCACAACTAAATATAAGATCAACAAACAATATATAAATGAGAGATAATTCTTACCTTACAAACCAATTTTATAAATTTGAATTGAGGTCAAACCCATAATCTATAATAATTATTTCTAGTCAGTTATAAAAGTTAGTACAATTCAAATGTTTGATTTGGTTGGAAAAATAAGCCATAGATGATTGCTGAAAATAATCTATACTATTACAAACTTTAGAAAAGTTATATTGATGCACAACTGGGTTTTATGATTAATTGCAAGTTGCAACTTAATGCGAGGGTAAAAGTACAATATTAGACAAAAGAAGCCATGGAATTAAGACTATCAACAATAGAGTCGATCAAAGCATGAGAATCTCTAGTACAAGCAAATGTAAGGTGCTTCGGAGCTTCAGCTCTATCAAAATAAAATGCACCTGATACCAGTTTCTCCTTTGGTTGTAGTGTCAACCAGATAACTGTGTCTGCACCTTCTTCACTTGTTCTAAGCTTCCCCGAAAACCTGTAAATAATTCAATCAATATAGAATTATTCCAATGGTGCCAAAGCCAAACAATAATTAACTTTCTTTTCTTTGTTGACCATAAATTATTTCAAGAACTAGTTATACTTGAAACTTGAGCTATTAGGTGCAAGCTGCAAGCTATTTGAACTTAAAAATTAAGATGTGATACAAGTCCACTTTAACTTGTGCTGAAATTTAATTTAATTATAAGGGATAAAGGGTGGCAAGAATCAAGTTCCTATGCTTTATTTTTGTTCTGCCACAGGTATCCTCCAGCCTACTAAACTAGATACTAATCCCGCTTGCAATATTGTGACTATCGCTAGCCTAACAAGTTTTCGCACATGGTGGAATCGAACATAGATTCCCCACTAAATAGATCGTTCCCATAACATAGGCATGTTTGATTTTGCTTAACTTGGGGACAAAATATTTTTAAGTTCTCTATGAGGAAGATGTCAGTAAAAAATTATTATTTTCCCCAAATAAGTTAATTCAAACAAGCATGAACATTAGATGCTTTGTATTTTGTCAAAGAATAACTCTGTCCTTGAATGGTTTTTATGCACAATTTTTTATAGTAATAATCGATATATTTCATGGATAATACAAGGACAAATAATGCTTACGATTCAGAGAAGCTTGGCAAACTCTTTGCAACCCCAGGAGTCTCAGCCCAACCAGGGTGCATTGAGTAAAATCCTATCCCTTTGTTCTTATATGTCTCGGCCCACTTTTCTGTTAGTGCAACCTGGCATATCAGATATATCGTAATGTTACATGAATTGACACATGAAAAAATTAAAAATTAAAAACACTCAACTAATCTCTTTTAAATGCCTCCTAGATACTATAAAGAAAATAACGATTGTAAAATATATGAAATGCATAGATATGATCAAACAAAATTTTAAAACTATTACTCATTTACATTAAATATCACAAAGAACTACTACTGCTTGTTTTCTGTTCAAAAAGGATTTGATGATTATAGTCCACTCTAATATAAAATTTTTGCACTACAGACAAGTAAAACATATGGTATCACAAGCGAAAATTTTCAAAAGCTTTAAAAGAAAATGTTGAACCTTCGTTACTATAATGTTGCAACACTTGCTAGCTAGAGAGTATTAAATTGGAAATAGATCAAATTTACACTATATAAATCACTATTATACACATCTAATTGGTTAAAGGTGAAGCTTTAAATTTCTAAATAGAATCAAGTTTTGAAAACTACGAACTTGATATAGTATTAGTAGTTAGTTATCTCACTATCTGATGGACAGGAGCAACAAGTTATACATATTTGAACAGTTGGGATTGTTGGGATTCATCCCAAGTCCCACATCGGTAAAATGAAGGAACATTGGCTAGTTTATAAGTGTCCACCATTCCACATAGTATGAGGCCTTTTGGGAAGGAGCCCAAAAACAAAACCGTGCGGGCTTATCATACTATGGTGGAGGAACGGGTGGACTAGTGGGCCCAACAAGTGGTATCAGAGCCAACGGTTCGTCTGGGTTTGATGCGGGAAGACCCTCAGTGTTACGAACGAGACATGTGGTCCTTGGTCTGAGGCCTTTTGGGAAGGAGCCCAAAA